TCCCCATTCTTTGGAGGCAATTGAGCGGATTATATTAGTGATGTTGGCTAGTCTTTTCCTTAGATTTATTATATGGGGGCGCCACGTTAGCTTATTATCAAAAATTACTCCGAGTATTTTAGTTTCTGAGACAGTAGAAATTGGGTGCCTATACAGAGATAAGTTGGGATTTCCACATGCTCTCTTCCTACAAAAGTGTATGGCTTTGGTCTTTTCTGGGGAGAATACGACCCCATTTTTGAAGGACCACTCTTCTATTTTATCGATTGCGTTTTGTAGCGATAAGTCTAGTTGAGTTCTATTGCGGTTAGTGGAGAAAACTAATAAGTCGTCGGCGTAGAATAGGTATTCTATGTCGGTACATTGATCTAGAAGTGTGGTTAGACTATGGATGGAGACTAAAAATAATGGCACACTCAGGACGGATCCAGTTATCATGCCATTTATCTGTTCATGCCATTGAGATTGATGTTGGCCTGAAATTACTCTAAAGATTCTGTTCTGTAAAAAGCTGTGAATTAGGTTAAAAATCTCTCCAGACAAGCCCCACCTCGCAAGCTGGTGCAAGGCCAGTATTCTCCAGGTTTTCTCATATGCTTTTACTATGTCAAAGGTGATGCAAGTTGTGTGAGATTTATTTTGGAAGCTTCTGCAAATAAAGTCTTGAAGGTAAACTATGTTATCCGTGGTGGCTCGATTATTGCGGAATCCCGATTGTTTATCAGATAGAAAGTTGTTTTTTTCCAACCACCAATTCAGTCGGCGTACGATAATTTTTTCTAAAATTTTACTGAGGCAATTTGTTAGGGCAATTGGTCTATAGCTGAGGGGGTCTGAGGGATCTTTTTTTGGTTTTAGTATTGGAACTACATTTGCTTTTCTCCATTCCTGGGGGTATTGTCCTGAGAGGAATATTTTATTGAAAAGATCAATGAGAGTTAGTTTACTCTGATGATTCAAATTTTTAATCATTGAATAGGTGATGGAGTCTGGGCCTGGGGATTTACCTTTCGCGTGTTGTAGGGCAAATTCAAGTTCAGTAAAAGTGAGTGGTTGGTTCAATTCGTAGATATCATAGGATTCCCATATATCGAAAGGGGTGTTTTCAAGATCTAGCTTTGTTTGGTGAAAATTTGGGTTATCAAAATTATTGTCACAATTAGAGTAGAATTGTCTTGCCAGGATATTACATATACTGTCTGGGTTGCTGTAATAAATGCCTTCATCTTGTAATTGATGGATTATGGGGGATTTGAAATTTCCAGAGATTTTCTTGATTTTATCAAATACGTCTTTAACTGGTGTTTGGTTAGTAATAGTGCTTATGTAATCAATCCATGACTTTTTCTTTGCAGCATTTACTAAGGATCTCATTTTTGTTTTAGCTTCTTTGTGGTGAATAAAATTTTCGTTTGAGGGGTATCTTTTAAATCTTCTAAGAGCAGCTTTACATTTCTTGTGGGCCTCCGTAAGAACATCGTTCCACCATGGGACCAATCTTCGCTTTGGTTTACTTTTGGTCATAGGGATGTTTTCTTTGGCTGCGTTCTCTATAGTTTCACTTATTTTCTTTACGTTCTCATTTATTGAAATGTTCTCAGAGAAAATTTGCGAAAAATCTGCAGAATTCGTAAAAGCAGGCCATTCTGCTAAATACTCCTTCCATCTCGGTCTGCGGTTTAAATCTGGTTTGTGGTCTGGCATGTGTATAATAATAGGAAAGTGATCGCTATAGAATTGGTCTTCACTTACTCTCCATTGTAGGAGTGGTAATAGTGAGGGGCTGCATAGGGAAAGGTCAATTGCAGACAGAGATCTATAACCTGGATGCAAGTATGTGTATGCTCCATTATTGAGAAGCGTTAATTCATTAGAGTATATGAAATTTTCTATGGCTCTACCTCTAGTGTTCGTGTTGAAACATCCCCATGTTGTGTTATGAGCATTAAAGTCACCAAGTAATAAAACTGGCTCTGGTAACGATCCGAGAAGCGCGTCTAATTCCGTGTTATCAATTTGTTGGGATGGATTTAAATAGATTGAACAGATAGAGACTCCTGATAAAAGTGGTGTTCTTATAGCTACTGCATCTAAATTGGAATATATTGGGATTTCTGTATATTGCACACCTTCTCTTATAAGAATAGCACACCCTCCCGCCGGGATTGTGTGGCGATCCTTATTAGAGACTGTTGAGAAGCCATTCAGCTCTATTTTTTTATTCATTGTGAGGTGGGTTTCCTGCAGGCACATTATAAGGATATTGTTATCTTTCGATAAAGTTTGGATATCTACTTTGTTATTTTCTAGTCCATTGATATTATATTGTATGATTGACATTGTACTTAGTTAGAAATATTAAAAGGGAGAAAATAAACTATAACAAACATATTTATGGATGGTCCTGGCCACCCCCGATCAAGCACCCCAAGGGCGGAGGGCACTTTGGGGATCATCCTTACAAGGCTTGATCTCCCGCCGAGCCCACCGCCCCCCAAGAGCAAGACCGAGAGTAGCCCGGACACATCCTGCGGCTTTAGTATTCCATTGTTGAATCGTTGCATTCCTCAATCAGTTTGCGTGATGAAGTGATGAGTTCCGATGTCGTCTGTAATGATGAGTTTGATTCAGTACCGACGTCCTGAGGCAGGGCGTCATCCTTGGGTGGGGGTGGAGTTAAAACCCTCCTGGGTTTTGGCTCGGCTGACTTCAGCACCGTAAATGTGTTGGTGCTGGGTTCTGGCTGCTCGTTAAGGATTTGGACTGGGGCCTTCCGTGAGTTCCCATGAAAGATGAATGGGCTGGCTTCTTCTGCAGCTACCACGTCTATTGGTGTCTCTTCATTGCGTCGAAGAGCGATTCCGGTCTCCGTATTGGTCAAACAGCCGGCACTTAGGTGTTCCATGCGGTCACCTTGAATTAGCTGCCGTCGCGGGTATTGTCTTGGGTGTCTTTCCGTGTGTGGTTCACTCTGGGAGAGGGAAACTGTCCTCGCAAATGAGGTTCTCAACCTGTCACCGTAGATTTTCTGAGCTTCCTTGTAAGATACTTTATTTGTGACCCGAATCCTTTGAATCTCGAACTCTTTCTTGAATACTTCGCACTTCCTGTGCCACGATACATGGGCCATTCCACAATTGGCGCATTTGACCGGGTGGCTGCATTGCTCCTCATGTTTTGGTTGACTGCATGTTCCGCAGATGGGGGGATTCTTGGATCTGCACTTCGATTCGTGATGGCCGTACTTTTGGCATTTCTGGCACCTCATCGGGTTTGGGATGAAAGGTCTTACCTTCAGGGAATGGTAGAAAGCATTCAGTTCTGTGGGCAGGTTAGGTTGATTGAATGTCAGGACAAAGTGCCCTGTGTCACGCAGCACGGACTTTCCATCCTCTTCGACTCTCTTCTTCAGTCGTTTCACTTCCGTGATGTTAAACGCAGCCAGCTCTCTCTTCAACTCCTCGTCGTCCATCTTTGTAAAAAAGCGACAGGCGATAATACCTTTGCTTGTGTTCAGGAAAGGATGCCATGAAAACTTCACTTTCTTTCCGTCAATCGAGTCGACCTTCATCAACTTTTCTCCTTGCTGAATGTCACTGACTTGAATCAAAAGATTTCCATTTCCGAGCGGTTGGAATACTGGAATCTTATTGGCGACGGCATCTAGCGCCCTCTTCACTTTGAAGTAAGAGATACTCATAAAGTCCACTGAATTGTCCAGGCTCTCGGCCAAAATAAACCTCTTCGGTGTTTCATTGCTCGTAAACAGTTTGTTTAAGTCCATCACTTGCATTGCTCTGCGTCTTTTTCCGCGGGAGGACATCACGGGGAAAGATGCATCATAATTCTCACAGTTTGACAGCACCTCAAACCGGTTTCTGTCTGGTGGATCGGCATGACCGCCGCTTGCGGCCGCCATTGTTGCTAACTTCACTCCCAAGCTCTCTGTCGGGAGACTTGGGTTTTTTCCACTTTATGAATTAAATATAGTTGTGTTGTGGAAACTAACACCGTTTACCACTCTGCACTACACTTATACGTCACTTCAAACTATTTTCACTACGAAAAAAACGTTTTAATTGTCCAAAATTGTGCGGAAAACAGGAGCGTTTAAGAACGGCACCATCAATATCAGCTGTCACTTTGGAAATTTATGGTGATTGTGGAAGAGAGTTGAATGGTCGCCGCCCACATTTCTTTGTTTTGTCTCCTCTTCGGGTGTCTTCTTTGGCCGTGTGCGAAACAAGTGTCTCACAGAGTTGCTACAAATCACAATTTAGTACTTAGATTGTCCACTACAAATAATTCACACCACATCTCACCGTCTCTTCCGCATCACATTGGCGCGCCTGACCCAATGAAGACCTCTAAGGGTGTTATTCCACCGCGTTTGCTAGGGATGAACTGAGCGCAAAGAACTGAGCGCAAAGAACTGAGCACAGACTTACAACTTCAAATTCTTATATATCTCAAGGTTCCATGCGATGTTTCTGTAAAAATTCTCTTCAAACCACTTTTTTTGAGCGTCTTTTACGATCATAACCTCAAAAATATCACTAAGAGACATTAAAAGACACCTTTTGAGAGCTTTCTAGATGATCAAATCATCTTTCAGAGTCAATATCGTACAGAAAGTGGTCTAAATATGGATTTTTCAAGTCTACAATACTCTTTTTGAGGTTATGTTCGACTTCAACACAATTTGCGGTGTTTTCGCATGAAAATGCCTAATTCTGCTAATAACTAGCAATTTTAACGACTTTAGAATAATAAATGATGTGCTAGAATGCGAAATATTCACTAAATCCGTTCGTAATTCATGACATAACCTCGAAAAAGACAGTTTCTTTGTATAAGTCAAAGGAAACCATGACTTTCTTCGCTGTTTTTTCCTTCTTCTTCCCTTAAACCATGTTTTCCAAGTGATAACACTCAGTGATCAACTGAGCAAGCTGAGCAAACTGAGCTACGACGCTAATAATCTGTCTTGTCTTTTGCAGTATGACGAAAGCCTGCATGGCTACATGGATTCAGGCGCCGCCGCTGCGATGTACGATCCTCATGCTGGGCACAGGCCACCCGGACTGCAAGGGTTGCCACCCCATCACTCGCCCCACATGAGTCACGCCGCGGCTGCCGCCTCAGTCGGCATGCACGGATACCACTCTGGCCATGGGACTCCTAGTCATGTCTCCCCAGTCGCCAACCATGTGATGGGATCCATCCCCGAGGTGCACAAACGTGATAAGGATGCTATTTATGGGTGAGTTTCCAATTGCTCCTTATATGCAAAATTGAGCCATGTTTTCTCTAATTTCACATCATGTCCTGAACCAATTATGGGCGGTGGAAAAATGACCCCCTGAGAGATAGTTTGTGTGATCTGAATTGATCTGCAAGTGTAATTAGGGGAGTTTGTTTTGATCCTCGTTCGGTTTCTCTGCAAATACACACCACTTCCGGTGGCTGTGTACACCTCGTTACGCTAATCGTCATGCCTTGTGTGGCCAATTAGAGCCATCGCGACACTTTCCGTTGCATTTTGCCACTGCAACGAATATGCCAGGCATTCCATTACGTGATTCTCTCTCTCTCTCTCTCTCTCTCTCTCGGAATAGAGTGACTGGGATTTTTTCCAATCGCGCACACACCAAAAACAATGTTTGACGAGAAAGCATTACAATTACAAATGATTCGCATCTGGTAGTTTTGGGTTAGAGAAAGAGACTGAGAGAGAGAGAGAGAGAGAGAAAAGCCTTACAAACAATATAAAGCCCAATGAAAATGGCAAAAAGGAGGCAATCGTCTCGCGCGCGCATTATCATAAAGAAAACAAACAAACGGATTAAATTAAATGTCAAATTTGTATTTTTTATGGAGTGAGACACGTTATTTGAAATAAATTTTTCCTACCCATCTCCTGTTTGTATATATATTTTTAAACATTGGGTGCAAATTTGTAATTCAAATCGCCTTGCGATTCACTCCGCGCGTCGATCTTGCTTGAAATGCTATGCAGTGACCATCGTCTTAAGTGGGTGTTGTTTGGGTCTCGCGACAGATCTCTGAATAGGAGGAAGTTAAACAGGGAGGCACGACCACTCAAATTGCATCCCAGTCAAGGTGACTATGCGGTGTATTGGGCAGAAAATTGCAGATCAATTTGAGACTTCCTGGACGAACAGAGAGAAGAAGAGGGAAATTTGCGTGTTCGATACATTGTTGCTGACAAGCAGAGAAAAGGCTCTCAATACAACAGATGGTGGACTCTTGGCCATTGGGTTCATCCATGTCTTCGAGTGACTTCAATTCGTCCCAGAAGACGAACAGTTGCGCATCTGCTGACCAGCAATCCGAAGGCCTTCAGCCTCCCCCAAATGACAGCCACCCTCCGTCTGTTGCCTGGACTGAGGGATGGAGAAAAAAGGCGATCCCTAATCGGGCCGTTTAAAATGATCCATATCTATCGAATCAACTCTCCTATTGCCTTTCCTGTTTAGAGACGGCAATAAATGGAGTGTTTAGCCGGGGTGTGTTTTTACGTCTTTGCCAAGTTCCTTCCTCCAACACTTAATTCATGTAATCAACTAATAGGTCCCAAGCTTCGATGTATATTATTATAAATTTGAAAACAATTTACTACTTTTCGCCCAGCTCTCTCTCTCCCCATTTGACTGATGCAGTCGGTTGGCCTTTTTTTTCGGCACACTCGCGCGCCTTCCCGAAAAAGTGCCTCAGCGGGAAGGCATCAATTTGTGGAGGGGGCGAAAAGGTAGCAATTTTGAAATTTTCACTCCATTTCGGGGCTCTCAGGGGGCGCGCGCGCGATTTAATTATGCTAATGACGATACTATCACACTATTATTTTGGGCTAAAATGATATAATGCATGGGTTTTGTGCTGCTGCAAACTCTCGCGGTTTCCTCGGTGGGCGCTAACTTTTGGGCAGGTCCGCGCGCGTATTTTCTCCTCCGCGACCTTTTTTCGCCAATTTTTGATTTATTGCCCTCTCGTGGTGGTCGATAGAGCAACACATGTCCCATCTGATGGAACAGTTTGTTGGCAAACTTCCCCCAAAATCACACACACACAAACACACAAACACATCTTGTCCGGCACTAACGAGGAGTGTCACTGCGCGACGATCACGCCAATGGACCGAAGGAAAAAGACCCGTGAAAAGGTGATTATCGGCCGTTTGGGGAGCTGAAAAAAAAAAGCAGATCGTCATTTTCCATTCACGAAAAAAGTCGTGAGCCAAGAGAATTGTGAAGCGCATGCAAAGTCTGGCCGTAGATGATGTACAAAAAGGCGTTGTATTTGAGAAAGATAGACTTGGAAAAAAAAAGTGATCTTCAAGTATGTAATTTACAAGAAGATCGTTGGACAGACAAAAAGGCGAGCTGTGTGTTGGAGAAAATAAGGCGATCTGGGGAATGTTGGAGGGAAGAAAAAAAAACAACATTAAAATTGAATCGACAAAAGAGAAATATGTGCCAGTCATTACCGAAAAGTAGATTTTCTTGTATGCTCTGAGACACTCTCAGGAGTGCACCGAGGCGGCGATGCAGTCAACCATATCTCTGGCATTTGGCTCGTCGTTTTTGCGCCATCCACTTCTTGGTGACGTGTATTAATAGGACTTCTGCCGCACCATTTCTAGCAGTGTGCCTGGGCTAGGGGAGAGTGGGGTCCATTTCATTGCGTTTTGTACAAAACTACCCCGCTGTGGGGCACATTCAGACTGTAATTTATCATGAAGAACCTTGTTTCATGGCGAATTGAGAGAAAACTTAATGATTTTCGTGGTTTTGTAACTTAGCAAAGACACATTAGCAGAGACACCTTTGAAGAAAAATTCATTTTCTTCAATTCTTGCAAGAACGTCATGAATAAAATGCGAAATATCAAGCTAAAAAACTTTATTAGAGCTTTATAGTTGAAAAAAGTTAAAATACGCAACTTAAGTTGGATTTTCTGTTGGAAAAACGCGCTGTGCAAAGCTGCCCCACTCGTGGTGAAAGAGACTTTTCGTGCCACCCACGAAAACCGTGCAATTTTTCTTTGCTTGCACTATTTTCTTCATTCTTCGGCCTTTCATGGCCTGAATAAGAAACGATGATGTCCGTATTTATGCCTATCCCATTCAGCCCCGCTCTCCCGTATTGCAAATTTTCGCCGTGAAAGATGTGCCTCGGCCACAAGAGTGTTAGTCGGACAGGTAAAAATATATTAAACACTCTTGTCGAACATGTTTCTATGGATATTTATGCCAGAGTGTTCATATTTATGATATTTCACACAATTTTTCGCATTTTTTCCCGTGCACAGACTTCGCTTTTTTTTCTCATGCTGTGTGTGGCACACACCAAAAAAAAACAGCCATCCAATGGAGCCTTTCGAGAGACATTTGACGAGGCACATTTTGCCTGTATGGCTCAAGTCATCTCCTCTCTATGGCGCGGTTTTGTATCGCAAGACGCGGTGAATTTACATAAAATGCTAAACAGTTATATGTCATTTTCGTTATTCAGGCGATTATATTAAAACAACATATTTGCATTTGCATAGACAACCTGCGGATTTATGCAATGGAATTGATTCTTCAGTCATTTCCAAACTGATGTTGATGGAAAGCTCACAATTTTTCATCCGAAAACCGCCCATCTCTCTCTTCCTGTCGTGGCGAAAAGTGCGCCCATATCGTGGCCTCTGCCAATCCACCTGGTCTCACAGGCTCTCTGTCAGCACCGACAGCAATGCTGTCACCTTATCGGAAATACACTATTCACACTGGGGAAATATGAATGCGCGCGATAGACGGGAATTTTATTGCCATTAGTTCCTGCGTTGGTAAAAAAATGTCTCTTAATTGTTGTGTTTGTGCCAAGTTCACAAGCGTGAAGATTAGAGAGTGAAGGAATTGCGACAGGAAATCCTTGGGAGTGTTAGGGAATTAAACTTATGCCTTAAAAGCTCTCTGCACGCGGTCAGTGAACTCCCGAATTGAACGTGGCGGCGTGTGAAATACTGACCCTCTCAAAAGGCAAATCCTTTACTCAACAAGGATACACTCTCTCACACACTTCCCCGTTCCACGACAAAAAGCTCCTTCTAAAATATCTCTCTCTCTCTCTCGTCTCTTGTGGTGTGAAAGGCGGGAAAATGTGTTCCGCATGGAAGTCATTTACCGTCGGTAGCTGCGAAGGTGCGTCTGGGTATTTTATGGCCCAAATAAACTCTGGCGGCAGTTGGAAGTTTGTTTTCTCACTTGAAGAGCACTCTTCACACCGAAATGACAACCTCTCTCCCTCTCCTTGGGCTGCCCAGAAGCTGAAGAAAACACTTCCCGGCAAGATTTCCTGAGCGTTGTAAACTCGAGTGGAACATTTTTCTTGTAAATAAATGAACGTGTGTGTTGTCCAAATATTGGGGCGCTCGCGATGGACAAATACATCCCCTCGCCACTGGACTAATGACAGTTGAGGGAACAATAGAAATACATGGAGTGACGTGGCGCATTTTCTTATCACACCCGCATCGAAAATGTTCGGAAAAATCCACCCTCAATTGCTGCGGTTCATTTTCTCCTTGAACTTGCGCGCGCGATGGCTGAGGGGGTGTTTAATTTCCATTAATGAATGAAAATTGACACTGTATCAGCGAAAATGGTTAATCGATGTGCCAAAGAGGCTTTTCTCTGTGGAATTTCTGCAAAATTTGACCGGAGAAATTGGGTCAGAAAGCAAAGAAACGCGCTCTCGTTGACGGTTAAACTGCCGACGGTGAAGTTGAGAATTACACTGTGAGGAACGGTTGGACGCCCACTCGAGGCTGTATTGAGCTGTGCGCTCGCGCCATCGTGAAGATATTTTAATTGTAACAAAGTGCTCTTTAATTGCCACCCAATTTAAATTAGTCTGTACTTAATAGATTGTGTATCTCATAACATTAAAACGATCATGTTCGATCTCTTGCAGACACCCTCTGTTCCCGCTGCTGGCGCTCATATTTGAAAAGTGTGAATTAGCAACATGTACACCTCGAGATCCCGGCGTCCAAAGTGGTGATGTCTGTTCGTCAGAGTCATTCAATGAGGATATCACAATTTTCAGTAAACAGGTAAGATCAATATTTGCTCAATTTGCGCGAAGGCTGCTGAACAACCCCAAAAATCACACCAAAATACAGAGAGAAACTGTCAAAGTTTATGTCTCTCCCAGGGCAAAACTATGCCTTCTGTGTGCGCTTTTATCATATATTATTGTGTATAGCTACGCATTCTGTTGTTTTGCTCCCGATCATTCGCGCCGTGACCCCAAGAGAGGCGCGAGAAGACAGGAGTTGAGCTTGACAAGCAAGCCCAGTGTGTGACATGAACTAGTTGAGGAATTGTTATCAGACGAGGCTATAAATGTTATATAGATAAATAGAGAGAGAGAGCGAGGGAAAAAATGTTTCAAGAAGCCATATTCAACTATATTTGGGCTGTGATAAGATTTGAGGAAGGTACACATATAAGTAGCTCCATCCAGTGTGTAATTTAGACGCACTCGGTAAATATGGGGCCCTTAATCATAAATGACTCTGTGTGAAGAATATGACAGATGAACCCTTCTTGTTGTTTTTCATTTTTTCTCCACCTCCTCCCGAAAACTTCGTTTTTTTCTCTCTCTCTCTGGGCGTATAATATTCCTCTGGAATGCCATCCAAGACATTTGAGAGCGCGCGGAGAGAAGGAGGAGAAAAAAACCTCACATAATTCACTCCATGGCGGCGTAGGAAAAAAAATCCATTCTCGAGAACATGACTTTTATTTCAATTTAATTAACAATCCCTTCGTCTCTGGCGCGAACAGATTATTTATAACTCTTCTGCAACCCGTTGAAATTTCGAAATCAATTTTTTGGGAGAGACAAACAGCTGGGGACAAACCCTCCGACACGGATTTGTCACCCTCACGCACAATATTCACCCTCCCGATCGAGACGCACTGTCGAGTCCTGAGATTGATGCTACGTTAATTATCAGCCACTTCAGCAGGACGACAATTTCTTTCCGTGCATTTTCTGAACGTGACAATTTCCTAATTTGCGGATATGAGATCAGTTTTTGGACGCGAATTGATGAGTGTTCGCAAAGGAATTTCTCAACATGATTTCTCATACAATCGCGTATATTCGAAAGAATTTAATTTCTCACCACGTTATCGCGTCATCTTATCACACGAAAAAGACTTGTTACTGTGTATTAAAGTCTATTACAACGACTCACTGTTTTTTCCGGGCGAATATTCTCCAGTGGAGGAGTTTCTTATGTACACACAAAGTGCTAAAATGCTGAAGAAGAAGAAAAAAAACACACACAGAAGAAGAAGATGCGTTTAAATGAGAAACATGAAAAGTTGAAAATTCAAAAATTGGTCCCATATGATGAACACATTCTACTGACTTGTGTGGCAGTGTTGAAAATTTTCATTTTATAAATTTAATATTATATTTTTAGCCAGTCAGTGTCTTCGAAAATAAACCCAAATGAAGTGGCATTCTCGGGGAATATAACACTGTGACAAGCGCACGAGAGAAGAGCAACAACACAAAACATGACAAATATAAATGCGTTTTTGTACCATCACTTCGGGAATAATTTGAGTGGATTTCTCAGTCCAAAAGTGTTGATGACATTTTTGGCTGTGTTTCTCGTCTTTTTGGGCCCCCGCCCGCCTCTGGCATCTCCCTCTCTCTCTCTCTCTCTCTCTCGCTCCTCTGGCTTTGGGAAGATGAGGAGGTTTTCGAGAGTGACGAGATCTTGTTGCCTTCTCTAGTGGGAACATCTCCAAAAATATACCCAAACACAAATTCCCAACATCTATGAACATTTTTCTCCACTCCGCGCGAGAGTCGAGAGAAGATCTCATTTCTCAGATTCTCACCAAGATGCTGGACAAAAAGGCAAAGGGGGAGATAAAATACCTTGTAATATACACTCATTCTTAAGTTTTTTTCGATCATCTTTCTCTACTGTGATCTAAAAATTCACCGCGAGATCTTTAAAGATTCCATTTGGAAGCTTTCCGTGATCATGCTAACGCCAGCATAATCTTCCTTTTTGTTGACATTTCTATGTCCCGATAAGAAGATGTGAAGGGCCTCAAATGTTTCCAGTTTTTTCACAAAATCTTCTCTTTTGATTTGCCAAATCGTCAAGAAAGACTCTTTAATTGTCCTTTTTCAAGTTCAAACCATTATATTTTTGAGGTTATGTTCGATTAGAAGACATTTTGCTGTGTTTCTTGATCTCAAAGAGCTGCAATTGTGATTTTTAGTTATCATAACCTAATAAAACACTGATAGAAATGCTTTTCAAGTAAAAATCATGAATTTCCTACTGTCGAAAATGTCCTGGCGTAGAAAATTGAGCAGAAAGCCTCGTGCTGAAGGCGTTAGATGACGAAGATGTGGCATAAAGAGAAATTGTGAGATGTCGGTGGCTTCCAATTTGCATTTTGGCGGGATTCGGGTTGTGTCTGTGCGAAAGATGCCAATGGACATGCATCTCGTTCGGCGCGAGAAAGATAAACAGAAGATGGGCATAGAGAAGTTGTTCGCTGGGGGAGAAAAAGTGCAGGGCACAGAGATTAAATGTCGAATTGATGATGATTGCACTCTTGCGCCTCTCGGCGAATTCTCACAGTTTGCACACACAGTGCAAATGATCGAGTAATGACAATAATTCCACTTTCGTGAAAATAATTACGCGCTGACAGCCCACTCGCGCGATTTCCATCAGATTAAATCACTCGCGCACATACCAACAATTTCAATTTCATTCGGCTTTATGACGCTGATTATTATTATTCGTCTTGGCTAATATGACAACTCGAGCCCTCCCACTTTGGGCTAATGCGTGGACAGTGAATCGCGCTTGTCATCTGTGTGCGGCTTTTGGACACACTGCGCGATGTCATAGAGATCCCCATTGGCCGCAGAAGAGATGTTAATTGCCGCGTCCAGCATCTCTTTGGGGCGCAATTCCACCATCATTATCACTCTCAATCGCGCCGTTTTCGTCCACTCCATTCGTGTCACACACAGATTTCTATTCACGCTCCGCTGACACACGTGATGCCAGAAGGAAAAAAATGCGCCCCGTGGAATTGTCCATAAAGCATTCCTCGTCAATTCGTAATAATCATCGCGAAAATGATCCCGCAGGAGGGAGAAAAATGCCTAATTATTCTCACATATTTTTATTGTCTTGTCCTGAGATGATTTCTGGCCAAGGGGGAGATATTATGGCCGTGGAGATGGTGTACAAAGTCAGATATCAATTCTTGGGCTTGAAATTGAATTTTTCCACTTATCAGAAGTATTTTGCATTTATACTGCAATGTTAGTGTGATAAAATAGCGCCAAAAGCAAACATAACCTCATTTTTTTAATTCTGATCGATCTAATCGCGATCTCTTAAGAACATTCTGTGATTTTCAAAGATCCTGCTGAAAAATAAATAAAATAATTTTAAATAATGTCTGAAAACCTCTGCCATAAGATATTAGTTAGATTTTGGTTAGTTTTCAGTCAATTTTCGGTCATTCAGAATCAATTTTTCTCAAGATTTTTATGCTAATGCTGAAAGTGTCAAGAAGTGCTGCAGAGATTTTAGCCTGAATATCTTCCCCTTGTTTCTGGTGCACCATCAGAATGAATCCGTTCAACATCTCTTGGAAAAAAGAACTCTTTCACGGTTCCTCCTCTTCCACTTCTCGGCGAGTGAGAGACCAAGTCTTCCGCGCGCGCGGGGAGTGTGAGAAAAGAACATAAAATTCGAGGTGAGCACATAAAGTCTTATCTCAAATAACTCAAATTTCATTGAGTTCTCGCTCAAGTCCATTATTGGTGTGAGTGAGATGAAAAATCTAACCGTGTCAGACGGTTTTTTCCCCGGGGTGGTGGGGGAAAGGGAGAGCAATAGAACCCGCGGAGAAAGAATTGACTATATAGTGAGAAATATTTACGATTTCCCAAATGTCTTGTATCTCAAATTTTATTTCCATATGATTGAAAACATTCAATTTTTCGGTGATTTCCTCCACTTCAACTCTCCCCCTTGTTGATGCCCGGAGAGCTTCTTAGGCGCATTTTATGGTCGAATTTTATCAATGTTATCAATATGTGTTTGTTTATTTGTTGATTTCCACCTCTTTTCTCGGCCGTTTATGGCTTTTATTGCGCCTTCTTGCCTTTCTACTTACTCTACGATTTCCTCTAGCCCATTCTTCAGGAGACTTTTTGGCGGAAAAGTGACAGCTAAGAAAAATTTGAATTTCAAATTTTGCATTCCCGGGATTTATTGTGCAGCACAATGATTCGGTTATCGATCATCCTGAGGTGCTTCAATCATCTCTCTCATGCGTGGAAAACCCATGGAAAAGCCCATGAATCATGGGAGGGAAAAAGCCAACACAAAAAAAACAACAACAACAACACAGTGAAGAATCCGTTTTGTTAATATTCTTTTCATCTTGGCTGAGAATGATAGAAATTCTGTGTGTTTCCTTCACACATTTCAATACACTATGCAATTCATTCACACAAGGAGATTCATATCGTTTAGGCCGCAGAGAGAGAGATGAATGCACCAAGTCAAGTTCATAAATCAAGAAGTCTTTTTCGGGAAGACACACACACAAGTTGGGGAGTTAATCCGGCTGCGCGGGGAGCAAAAAAAATTAGCAAAGACATTTGGCAGACCCTCTTTTTGCCCCCATTTTTCTTCATTTTTTCTGCGGGGCGCGCAATTATGTGGTGTACTGGGTGAAATGTGTTGCAGTAACCTTGAATATGGGTTGAAGGGTGATTTTGTGGGTAAAAAACGAGGCGTGAAAGTATGCAGAAACGGACATATTCCACTAAGACGCTGTAAATCATCCTATGGACTTCCTTTTTTTGCCATGGCGCGCGAAGATCATCCGAAAATAGATGATGTTTTGCCGTCGATCATCGGCACATGGAATGGAAAATCGAGGGGACTTTCTTTCTGGAATCTCTGAGTGCAACTCTGTGGATGTTCAGACATGTTTTCGTGAGAGACATTTTTTTTCCTTCTTGGGTCGAAGAGAG